ATCGGGGGCAGCCCCAGATGCGTTTCTGAGCACTCGGCTCAGGGCTGGCCACGAGCAAAGGAGGAACTGGAGAGAGGTCAGAGGGGCAGCCAGGGCTCCGGACCCCCACGGCGGTGGGGTAAGCGAGCGCTGGGGCTGGGATTTCCTCCCTAGAGCTCAGAGGCTTAGCAAAATCCTCCCTCAAGCAACAGTTTCTAACTCAGCATCATGTCCTCATTCCCCGCGCTCTCCTAGGATGGAGGCAAAAGCATCCTCCAGCCCGATGTCAACCCAGCCTGCTGCAGCTCTGCTAGCACAACCCACGGCACACGTGCCACTAATGAGATGCCAGAGGCTGATCTGCAGACTTGGGAACCTCGGGATGTGAGCTTTTACCTGCACCCTGGCTTCGGTCAGGTCTGTCCGAAGGGCCAGCTGCTCCCGTGCATAAACGTCTGGGTAATGTGTCTTCTGGAAGACCTTTTCCAGCTCCTCCAGCTGGAACGTGCTGAAGGTCGTCCGGTTCCTCCTCTTCTTGTTCTTGCTCTTCCCTGGTGCCAGGGGCTCAGCAAGCTCGGGGGCCCCATCATCTCGCAGGCCACCCAGGGGTGCTGCCAGTGAGCCGCCGAGCTCTGCCGTGACTTTCAAGGGGCCATGGCAGGCTGCGGGCACGGGCTGGCACCCAGGTTTGCATCCCTTCTCGCTCCCTGCGGGGCAAGATGCACAGGAGGGGGTGGCGTTAATGAAGCAAAGAGCCTGCCTTGCCCACAGACCTGGCCGGTAGTCATAAACCATCCCCCCAAAATGCACGTGTGGCACCCAGCGTGCAGGGAGGGGCTCCCTGCCAGGGGACCTCAAAGCTCGCAGGGTGGGCAGATGCTGGTAGGACAGGAGTTGGTGATGGGGAGGCAGCACTGGCAGAGGACAGAGAAAGGCGAGCGCCACGCGCACCAGCGCGGGATGGTCTTCCACGGGGAGCTTCTCCCAGCTCCACTCATCTTTCCTCCCTTTTCCTTTCCAGCATGGGCTGGTGCCTCCACCCTGCTCAGCTGTGTCTAGGGTGGAGACATCAGATCCACCAGTAACCCCAAGAAGTCCCGGACTTGGACTGCATCCAGGCCCCCCAGAGCTGGGCTCGGTTCGGAGCGGGGCACAGGCACAGCAGGGCTCGACCCATTCCAACGCGCCTGACGGCCGGCC